TGAACATCGCAATATACATTCTGTGCTGGTGTTTAAAAACATTTCTTTGCCATGTGCCACGTCACGTCATGTTCAGTAACCGCTTGTCCAGTTCAGGGTCATGGTAGCTTGAAGCCTCATCCAGGAGGCAGAAGACACCCTGGACAGGATGTCCATCCACTGCAGGACTCATACAGACACAAACATGCACTCACAGCAGGGCCAGCTTTACAGAACCCAGTCAACCTTCCAGCATGCCTTTGGACTGTGGGAGGAAACCCATGCAAACATGGGGAAAACATGCAAACTCCACGCAGACAGCACCCCGGAAATTGAGCCCAGGGCCTCAATCCTAGCTACCATGCCACCCTGCTGCCTTACCACATGTATGCCCTTTTATATTTTATGTGTTGTCGTGGAAATTTAACTATCAAGGAAGCCACAAGAGAGAGTTCTCACCTGAGTAAGGTCTTTATTTCAATATTGCAATATTGGGAGCCCTGCTGCAAGTTCGCAAAGTGCAACCAGAGACTCAATTTGTTACAAGCAGTACAGGGTTTTTATAAGACGTTGCGCTGTAAAAAAGTTCAGCACTTGGTCCCTTCTAAAACGTCCCCTTTCTCTAAGAGAAAACAGATTACATCATAGAGCGAGAGAAGAAAAACTAGATTTGTTATTCAAAGCTTATCAGTTACTTTCAGCTAATTCTAATGACCCAGACAGCATATATTGTTTTGGTACATTGTCTTCTAAACTAACCTAAACAGTGTACTTTGTTGACGAACTGTTTTCTAAAATTCTGCACATACTGTAGCATAGCAGTTATATCCTTGAAATATTATCTAAAAGCACCAATATATTTTTTTTGCAAAGCTCTCTACATTTTTAAGAATCAATTAACTCATTAGATTTCCACTACAGTGTGCAAGAAGTGGATCAGGGCTGTGTCTGGTTTATAAAAAGCCTTTGGAAGTCCTTGTGTTTAAGAGCTTATCACTGAGAGAACGACATGGCCTCTCTGCTCGCGCTGCAGAAAGCTGACTGTAAGTTATCTTTTGCATCCTTACATATAGTACAAAAGGGGCAACTGTAAAATATTTATTCAAGGCACTGTGTTCTGCTGCCCCGAGTACTGTCACCTGTTACTTTAAAAGAGTGCTGGGAGAGAGGTCAGCGATGGTTTTCTGTCACTGGAGCGTGCGCGTGTGACAGTACTCTCTTTTTGTCCTAGAGGATGACATCTGTTCTGTGATTGAATTCCCCAGATATTTCATTTCATTCGCCTGTCAATATGCACTGTTGATAACTGGCCTGGACGAGAACATTCCCTGCTCAGAATGTTCTGGCTGAAATGAGAAACCTGTCTGTTTTTAATGAATTAGGATGTCTGGTTCCTAATTAACTTGGTCTGCAGGCTGGAAAAGGGAATGGCCGTAATGTGAGATTAAAGTCATCGTTCCCACTGCAGTACTGCAGGATATATTATGGTCTGGTACCACTGCTGTACTTACAGGCAAGCAATATGTGAAGGCTACAGTAAGTGAGAAAAAGAAGCGTGCACAAAGTGTATATGAGAAATGATCAATGAAAGAATAAATCGGTAAAATGAGTTTAAACTTTTAAATGTTTCTCACTGTTTTGCTCTTATTTTCTTTATTATTTGTAAATTGCTCATACCTGTATATAAAATAAAATAAGGAAAAATATACAGCACCTTTATGTGTAAATGTATTATTTAAGATACTCTACATACATACTGTATGTAGAGATTCAGTACAGTATATGTAATGCATATACATAAATCAGCCCTTTGCTTTAAAACTGAAATGGGATTTAAGCTATTACCCAACTCCATTTATCCCAAATAGTTACCATTAAGAACTTTAATGTGTACCGTATAAAGGATTTTCATAAAAATTATATGCATGTCACTCGTTTCTTTTCATTATGCAAATCTGACTAATACTCATCTCCCCCTCTTGTGTTTTGCATTGTAACACTTACTTTCCACGATACAATAAATATAAAGGATGCATTGTCTTTCACTGCCTAGGAAAACTTAGAGGAGCTCCTTCTGCTCGGTCTGCACATGAAGGTGTGTAGGTCGTTTAGCAGACTAGAGCGAATTTCCTCTGGCATGTGTCTTCCTACTAGAATAATTGTACATGAGGGCACTGTGCTGATCGTAATTGGGAAATGTCCTTTCTTTTGACCTCATTGCAGGACATTTAAGGACATGTGTGTTTCAGGGCTTAGCATGACTCTGTAGTATCTACGGGCATCTGTGCCTGCCCCACATTTCCGGTAATTGCCAATATTAACTGTTGTTTTAATCAAATCGACTAAATGGCACCAGTTTCACAAAAAGACACGTTAGAATTTGCATTAAAAATTCTGGATCTCATCCAAGCCTAAGAGATGTCCTTTCTCCTAAGCCTCGCCTGCCCTCAATCACGATCCGTTCCTGGTGGCGGAAAACACAGTCAAAGATGATTTTAAAATTCATTTGGAAAATTGTCCTGAGAATCAAAGAGGCTGTCTCCTGCAGCAGATTTCTTTCGTGAACATATTTTGTGTTTCTGTAGTGAAATTATCCGAGTCTTTATTTGGAAGTTTGTTTTAAGCTGTAGTGATCCCTTAGTCCAAAAATCTATTTTTATTTTGGACTGTCATGGGATCCCAATTTGGCAGTTAGCATGGTAACTGCCCGTCTGAGCCTAATCTCAAAATAAGTAGCGGCTTAGCATAAACTAACCCCATAACTCCTTGGCCAGATTAAAAGTGCTTTGCTGCAGGGAATATTTGGGCTGCCTCTCTTTCACGGCAACCGCTCAGTCGGTGATTCTTTGACACAGAGTCCCGCTTGGTAGGAAGCAAACGCAGAAAGGTCAGGTCACAGCAGATGTTTTGACATCTGTCCTCCTCGGTGTTGGCTAAGGCCACAGGATGGATTCCCGGAAACATTTCTGGAAAGCCATTCCAAAATATTTATGGCATGCCGCAGCTGTGATCGAACCTGGTAAAATCCGTTGTGTGAGCGGTCACGTAATCAACATCACTTTATCCACCAGCGAAGTGATACTTATTGCTCAGAATCTATGTGTTTTAGACTGTACAGAAGAAATTGTAACTTGTGGATTATCGGAGGTTTGTATCTTCCATCTCGGAGACGTGGAGCAGGCTGCTGTGAGGAGGATAAGGCATTCTCTCAGCATCAGATGTCAGAACAGACTTCAGTGGCGAAGTGAAATGCCTCGTGTCCTCTGTATTCATAAAAAAGGGTTATTCCAGGAAGCACATCCTTTGTTTTGAGAAACAAACACTGATATTGATTCATTACATAAAACAGTTGCACACAGCACACACACATTGGGACATCCAGGCTTCGCAGGAAATTAAAGAGAAAAGCATTTCTCCAGGGTCATTTATCTCTGTCGAGAGGAGACTGTGGCTCGTTCCCCTGGCACAAATATTACTACACCTAAAACTATTCATTCCAGCTCCAGATTCACTGTGATCTTTGGGCGGATTCCTTATCGGCTCCTTATCCACCCAAAAAATCAGTTAAAATCTTACACGGAAAAAAATAATCTATTTTCCAATATTCTTGATATTGGGAACTGAATTATAGATACATACAGTATGTATCCATTTAATATGTTATGAAGAGAAAAATGATCTAGAGATCGTTGGCACCTCCCTTTCTTGGTTTAGAGAATTAATTGACCACCGTGAACCAATACATATGATATGTCTGTTGCATAAGATAATTTGCAAGTCTGTTTTTTTGGTAGTAGATCTCATCTGCTGATTTTAAATCTGAGATTGTCCCATGTACTCTGGGTGTTCCACAGGGCTCTATACTGGGATCTTTCCTATTTAGAATTGACTTGTTGTCTCTAGGTCTGTGGTCAGTCAAATCTGATACTATATCTGCAGGTTCCTGTATGATATTGAGATTGCAATTGGAGTTCCTTCAGCTAAATTGACAGGATTGAGGCTGTGCTCATAGGAACCCGACACCACTGCTGCGTATAAAGTTTTGTTAATAGTGCTGAAATCAAACCCTTGATGAAATTTATAAACCTCAATATTACTTATGACCCGTTTTGTCATTTGAAGCAAATGTCAGGAAATGCTATAATGGCCATAGGCCATAGTATAATGGCCATTGCTCAGATAAGACCCTTGCTCTGCCTGTCTGATGTTGAAATATTATTACATGCCTTATAAGACCTCTGCAATGCCTTACTTATCAGGGCTATACAAGGTAATAATAAATGGGCATAATGTCCAGATTTCTGTGGTTTATGTACCAACTAAAAGTACTCATCAGCATCAGCACATACCTCCCATCCTCTGTAAGTTGCATTGCACGCCGGTGACTTTTAGAGTGGTTTTAAGATTCTTTTGCTCATGTCTCAGGCATTGAATGTGTTTGCTCCAGGTTATGGTAAGGCATTATTATTGCATGAGTACAGTCCAACTCTTAATGTGAGACCTGTTGACCCAGACCAGGATTCACACAATGGGCGATAGAGCCTTCTCATCTAGAGCCCCACATCTGTGGAGCTCACTGCCCAAATCCATTAGAGACTCCCCCACTGTTGGCATTTTTAACTCTCTTAAAAATCTCTTTTCAATATAGCTGTTAATGTATAATTTAGCTTCACTCGTGGTTTCACCGGGTCCATTTACTGTGCTGTGATCTTTCTCTTCTGTTATGTCTCGTACATGTGTGCTATTGTAGGATTATTACATATAGCATGCACATATAAACATTTTAAAGAAGATTTGGGATTTTTAATGTATTTTGTTTTACAGAATTATGCACAGTTATATTTTAGTGGACACTGAGGGGAACACCCCAGAGCTGAAAAATGAAGTACAGTGAATTCTGACTGGACTGAAATATTTCATTTTTCACAGAAAGGATTGAACCCTGACCCCTAGGGTCAGAGGAAAGCTGAATGGAACAAAAGGTGATTCCCAAAGCTTTTTTTTTTCTATCCACCTCCTAGGGATTTCCGGATCCTCTCCCGGGTGCTGATGGATCAAGTTGGAATAACAGGGCACTGCAAGGCAGGGCTTTGAAAACAATCAGATGTGCACAGATCAAGCACAGCTGATAGTGCAGCACAGTGGACTCCAGTGGAGCTGGCATGGCTACAGATCAGCTGTGCGTGACAAGCTGAAACAGAGCCCACTAATGGTGGAGAAAATGTTGGAAAAGATCTCAAAAGCCATGCCTCCTGTTTTAGACAAGAAAATCAATATTAGATCTCTTGTTTCACATCTCATAAACGTTCAATAACCATACCGTTTAAGAGGGAGTGATCTAAAGTTGAAGCAGTCACATTGTAGCACTTGGGCAGCCCGACAGCTATTTATGTATCTTTCAAAGTATCCACTTTGTGTAGTAACAAAATCAGAGAACTAACAAAAATGATAGTGATGGCTGAATTGACCTGCTTTCCATTGTTCCTCAGGTTTATAAAGCATGTAAATACCTGGGCTTGGTGCAGACTGGCAACATGAAAACAAAACCTCTGTCACGTGGTTAGCATGGCTGTTTCGGTGACTGGAATGAGGGTTTTCACTTAAGGTATTGCACCAAGGAATCACTGTCAAGGGTATATAAAAGTATATAAGTGAAGCACTTCTTTTTCAAGAAACAGGTTGCTGAAGCCTGCAGTAAATTAAGAAATTAGATATTTAAACCCTTTTCTATCTAATTAATATCAAGAGCTTTCTTGCACGCTGTCCAAGGAGTAAACACTTAATTAAAAGCAGCTCTTAATTAGTTTATACTGTATAGCAGGTACAGTATGTTAGTGTTTGCACAAACAAGAAAATCCAAGAATACGCCAGACAGAAAGACACCCGAGAGAACGAGGCAAAGGCTTTTTAAAAGTATCTCTTAATATAAACATTTTATTCAGTGCATTTTTGTGTATACAACAAATAATAAACAACTGGATTGTAGCAGGTGGAAACCCTGCTATTACATACTGTTTTGTCCTTGTACAGATTGGAACATGTGATCCAATATGAGTTAATACACATAGTCTACATCATGCAGCTCTAGTCCAGAAGTTCCAGCTGTCTCCCATGCAACAGATATGTTCGCCTAAAAAATTAAATGAAACTCTAAATTATAAACAAGAGCCTTCCTGTAAGCATATATGAAGAAGAAATGCTGTTTGAGGAAAAGAGTACTCTGCCCACAAAAGGGTCTTTGTACACAACTTGTAATTTGTACATGCCCTGTACAAGAAAGGGGAGCATTTTTTTTTTAATTTGTTCACTTTTACAAAGAAGACATATCCTATAAAAATGTTAAGCCACCTAAAATTCCACAGTATTTTTGTTAATATAAAAATTTTTCACCACGATGATTTATACACAAAACAGCGTCCTGGGTGGGGAACATCACCACAGAGTCATGGTGAACACAACCAGCCAATGAAAGACCTGCAGCAGGAGAGGGAGCTGACACGATCACTCCGGTGGTTACAGACTAAGGGGCTGAGACAGACACAATCGCACAAGATTCAGACACAGGGTAACACTTAACAGTCAGGTCTCATACTGCACTTCCACGGCACATGCGGACTACTTTGTCCTGAACCTTTCTATTTCTTGTTTTTAAAATGTCAAATGCATCAATTCCAGCTGCACGCAACTGGCTTTACTACGTTAAGGGGAGGGAAGGGGTTGGGAGGGGGCGGGGGGGAGGACACACCCCTTTCAGCTGGTGTAACAGCACGTAATGAAAATAAAGACTGAGGGTACAGTAAATCGGGGGAGGGAGGGGAACAGCTCTCGGCTAATTAAGCGAAATTAGCAAGCAAAGTGGGGTTACAGCTTCTCACTGAGGGGATCTTGACCCCCTTTTTAAAATCAGCTGAATGTCGGCTTTTTCTGAGTCGAGAGAACTCCGTCCTTACTTGTGCACTATCAGGCAGAAAGACTATCTCTTGTCAGCAGGACCTTGGGCTGCAACACTGGTTAATTTTGCTCGGCTCCAGAGAAGCGCAGATGACAGGATAGGGCACCTCTTCTCTACAAATCGGGTGGAGCAGTTAAGCTTTCACTGGCGGCCCAGACGTCTGGAGAGGTGCACAGGTATATTCTACAATATCAGGACCTAACAGGTTATCCACAGGAAAATGAAACCCCAAAAGAGCTAGTGGTTGGTTACGAGAGTGACCTACACAAGTTCAGTAGCTGCATGGTAAAACCTTGTTATGTTTCTATTTTCGTCTCGTGATTTTTACTGTTCTGTCCTGAACCGCTGATGATTAGGAGAGATAGAGAGAGAAGTCTGCTTGAAGTCAAGAGCACATCCAGAGGTAAGTGTGCGAGCCGTGCGAGGCCCCGCCCCCCAGGGGCCCTGGCTACGTCGACTCGTGCTGGCTCACCGCCTTGCCGCCGTTCAGCACCGCCGACGCGCTCCGGCTCTTGGTGGGGGTGCCGCTCCCGGACCGCGAGAACTCCGTGAGGTCGTGCAGCGAGGGCTCTCTGTACATGGCCACTGCAAGACAGG